TTGTTAAAGGTCCATTTTGGGAATAAGAAGTAAGCCTATGTCATGGCACATATTCAAAAGGTACAAGGTCTCATTTGTTAAAACCTTGAAACAATTTCTGCTCTTTAGCTAAAAGGCCCAGAAGCATGATGTTTGGCAAGTAAGTCTCTTGGATGAAGCCTGACAATGTTTACAGAAAGAAGATTAATGTTCAATGTTACAGGGGTTGAATTTGTTAAAACTGTTAAAAAACTTTTCTTCAGATTCACCAATAGTTCGAGAAGCATGGTATTTGGCAGGTTGGTCTCTGGGATGAAGCCTAGTAAAGTTTGAAAAAAGAAATGACCTTGACCTATAGGTTCCAAGGGTCTAATTTGTTAAGACCTTAAAACAACTTCTGATGATTAGCTAAAAGGCCTAGAAGGATGATATTTGGCAAGTACTCTAAGTCACTCGAATGAGGCCTGATAATGTTGGCAAAAAAGGCTTGACCTAATATTCAAGGTCACAAGGGTCAAAATACTTTACCAAAATCCATGAAGCAGAATATCTGGTGGCAAGGTATTTCGAGGTCAAAGTCCGACAAATTTTGAGAAAATAAAGGAATAACATATAACTTATAAATCCTGATCATAAATATGTTTAGCAGTTCATGTCATCTCAAGAGCAACTCAATCACCCCTAGAAATCGACGAAAGCGATGCTTAATTAAATTCATTCAAATGCAATAACATTTACAAAATTCTCGGGATTCTAATATTTGGCCAATAGAATGAGTAAGGACCAAAGGGCTTTCGATTTCGTTTTAGTTGGCTTTTCAATGTCGTAATAAAAATGCTAAAAACTTCCACAGACATCTAAAGAACAAGAATGTAAATGGCCATACCCAACACTGTGCTTAGACGAAGGAACATCACTAGTTGTTCAAATGGATTATCTTTATCCGCGGTCACTTATGTACAGTCCATGTGTGACGTGTGACTGTACGGTGAATGTCCTGCCACAATCTGCTATTTTTTGTATCTGTGTCGTTGCCATGGACAATTTGACGTTGCCCTGTAAACAGCATGCTGACTTTGGCGATTGTCCACAGAAGACAACACGACGAAAGTCCGTTAAAATATTGCAGTAAACATCCATTGCATCGATAAGTAGTTTCTGGTTCATTTCCGTCATCATTTCTTTGGGATTTTTTTCTTTGGCGATATATATTACTTCTAACTTTCCTTTTTACTTTGATAGCTTTTCTATGGCGCTTTTGACTCCCCACGCAAACGTATCTAGAAGATTCGAGTTCGTTTCGTGTCTGCTATCTGACAGCTTTAATCGTACATCTGTATTTCTACTACAAATTTGCTTGCACCCTTTTGTCAGTATATGGTGCATGCCGCCTGAAATTGCTTCTCCTCTTCTAGCACTCTTTGTCGCCGTTGACTTTGACTAACTAATTGTCGAACACTTTACATATATTCAATCTATGTCTGGACAGCTTCTTTTTATCCTCTTCTGAAATTGAAATGTGATTTGCTTCTATATCATATCTTATTTCTGTCAAGAACTTCCAGTAATTGGTCGGTTGGTGCTAATAAAATCACATGATTCTGCTTGTCATGAGGCCATCAATTAATATACCATGCGATTTTTTCATTGTTTAGGGTAATACCACCGTGTACAACTTCTACCCCAGGGGTTGCTTATGTGTGAGCACCAGGGGCTGACTACACGATATCGTGCCCTCTCCAGGTGAAGTGGAGGTAATCACGTACCAATTGTATTGACATCGGGGATATATGGCGAGGCATCGATTACTTAGTAAGAAGCTCCATTTTTATTTATTTATTTATTTTTTGCCAACTAATAGACTAATAGGCTTCTCTAAAGTAAACATTTTGTCTTGAAAGTATTTGTCGCCAAAGAGCCTCTACTTTAGATTGGTATCGGTATTTTTTAATTGGATTGAAAACTTAGACTTAGAGAACGCGTGCCTTTCCGTTTTGAAACACGTTTTTGTACTCAAAACTCACCCTAAATTGTTAATGATAACTCAAAACATGTGGACTGTTTACACCATGTGTCATGCAATTCGTCGATCACTAGTAACTTGAGTGACCATTAAGCCTCCTCTCCATTTTTGAACGTTGCTTCTCACTTTGTTCACTTACTTCCACTTCTCCACGTTCGGAAACAATATTGGAAGCATTCATCCTCAGGTTGGAAACTGTTTCAAGAGAAATGTGGTCGTCATTCGTCCATTCAGAATGAAACCAGTTCCTTTTTACCAGCCTTTAACTGATTTACCCACTCTCACCGCTTTCACCACTGAAAGATTTTTATTTTCTACGTCGACAAAACTTTCGCCACATCTGTCACTAAGCATTTTGTTAGGTCGCCTGAGCCGAAGGCTTATGGTGACCTATTGCCATCATGATTTGTCTGTCGTCGTGCGTCGTGCGTCGTAAACTTTTCACATATTCGACTTCTTCTCAAGAACCACTAAATGGATTTTGACCAAACTTGGCACAAAGCATCCCCATGGGAAGACGCTTCAAGCTTGCGAAGAAAAGAGGAATGGCCCCAATAGGAGCCCCAGGAGGGGGGAAAAGGGGGTAAAATTAGGTAAATCTTTAAAAAAATCTTCTCATGAACCAACAGTCAGATTAAATTCATATTTCATATTTAGGGTCCTTATGGCAAGGTCTACAAAGTTTGCGAATGAAAAAAAAAATCGGGTCAAAAACGGCCCCACTAGGGGGCGCTCAAAAGGGTCGAAAATTCAACTTTGACCAATTTCAACCAAATTTGGTAGACAGCATCCATTAGTGAAGGACATATGAAATTATGTTGAAAAAAGTGATAATGTCCCCTTTGGGGCCCATAAAGGGTGTAAAAGGGGCCATATGTAAAAACCTTCATTAAATGACTACTTCTCAAGAACCAGTGGATGGATTTTGACCAAACTTGGCTCAAAGCATCCCCATGGGAAGCCGCTTCAAGTTTGCGAAGAAAAAGAGCGTGGCCCTAATAGGGGCCCCAGGAGGGGGAAAAGGGGAAACTTGATACGAATGTTCTACACAAGGTCCTGGCAAGTGTCTTAATTTTTTGAGGCGATTCAAAATCCAAGATGGCCACCCTGGCCTCTGTTTGGCTAAAGCATTATGGACTTCCTCTCAAGAACCATTGGGTGGGTCATGTTCAAACTTGGTACAGATGTTTTACACTTGGTCCTGCACAAGTGTTGTTACCTTTTTGCAACATTTTAAAATCCCCAGATTATTGACATATATTCCTCAGGTGACCGTTAAGGCCCCTTGGACCTCTTGTTTAATCTTTTGGTGTGTTCAGAGACCGGGCGCTATATCTACTACCTATACTCTCTATATCCCATCAAGACTTAACGGAGATTGGAAATACGATTGAAAAAGTCCGGAATTGTGTTTGTGAAAATATGTATTTACTGTTATCACTGTGTGCAAACAATTATGTGATATCTTACATTCTGGTGACGCCTTTGATGTTTTTTTCTCTATAATCCACAGATTATATCTTGATGGCTCACCTTCGAATTTTACAAGTCATTTAACACGGTGTGCGTTTAGAACTACAGTTTCTTTTCGATTAACCATAACGTGTTTTCATCCTTGTCGACTCTTTGCAGTTCAGACTGATAAAAGTTCCTTTTATGGTGTTAAAAATGTTGTGGAATACCCAGACGTTGATTTTCAATTGAAACACTTACAAGGCTTTTCGATATTTTTTCCTGTTTGTTTTCTCTCCGACCCATTCGTACTCTACTTCTTTCAACAATTTTTTTTTCTAAATACATTTAATTCAATTAAACTGCGGCAGTGGTTGCGGGTCAGGACATCTGTGTACACGAAGGTCGGGATACCAACGCAGTGGTTGGGGATCAGGACATCTGCGTACACGAGGGCCGGGACAGCAACGCAGTGGTTGAGGGTCAGGACATCTGTGTACACGAGGGCCGGGACAGCAACGCCTTCACACAGTATTTTACAAATCATGTGCGCTAGCTTTCATTCAGATGTTTATTTCTTGGAGGCATCCTATATCCGATATTAAACGGTATATAATATTTTCATTATAAAATACGCCTTTAAACGGTTTTCTCTTTCGTTTCTCTTACTGAAGTTTATCGTCTGGTAACCGCCAGTGTTGTGGACACGGTACTCATGAAAAGTAACCGCGTTCGCAAGCATGCATTACGCTGCGGTAAATTGGAAACATTACCGATAATTGCCGAGTAGATTTTAGGTAATTTGACTTGAAACTTTATTTGTTCTGTTGAAGATAACTCAATAGACGTCGTATAAAAAAAAAGATGCACACAAAACATATGTATAATTTTCCTTTAAATATCCCAACAATTTGCCAACCATTTTACAATATAATGGGAACCAGAAATCAGGGAGGCGGGAACTGAGAGTAAGGGGTCGGATATTAAGTGTATATAGAAGACAAGCATTCTTTATCTTGGCAACTCTTTCTGACAGGTGGACCGCAATATCCCTCTCGAACCTCTTCAAGTTACAAATGACAAGATTACTTAATGGCTTGTTATAAAGATTCAAGGACGTGTTGTTAACGTCAGAGACGTGTGATATATATACGTCTCTGTCAACATTTATCAACATGCAAAGACAAAATCTCGTTTCGGACAAAATGAAGAAGAACCTGCAATCAGTATTCGAATAGTAGTTCAAGAATATGAATACTTCCAACTTTGCCTCATTCGTGTTTGCGATCATAGTGATCCAGAGGGATCGCGGGGCGAAGGTAAGTCGACAGCATTTTTAATCAATTACTAACTGAAGTGTCCGACTGCCAAATGAGAACTTTTCCCATTTGCGTAGCGCTGTAACAGAATCCCAATTTCAAAAGAGAACGATCGTATGCAGAATATGACCGTACACAAGGACGCGTTATGAGCAATTCGGGTATTATACCCTTCCGTCGTTTAGAGTGACTTCCCTTTACAAAATCCACTTCCGATGATGGCGATACATCGTCTGTAAACGTTTATGCTACTGTTGTCGTTGCCTCGAGGGAAAACTATCAACGGTAACGTTCATATAGACCGAAAATCGCTGATGCGTAAGCATCTTCTTATATCTTAGGTGAGTTGCACACGTGGAACACCATCTCCCATGCACAATTGTGTAATTAGTTACTGCAGTGATGCGTATTCGGAAACTACTGTAGTTTCCGACTACTCTGTAAGTAGTGTTTCCGATACAGGAACACACAGTGTTCCTCTTCACCAGACTCAAAAATTATATTACTGTGATTAGAGTTCATTTTCCGGTTAGTTTACAGTAGCTCTATAATTATATACAATATCTTGATTTTTTCCAAAACTTATCCAGTTTGTTTTTAAAGATATTTGCATTTGGAGCAGATACAATGTCTTCCGTAAGATTATTCCAGGTTTTTACAGTTTTTATAGCAAAGATATTTCCTCTTCTGTTAGTCCTGTGTTGTTGAAGAAAAAGTGTTTTAGAGTGTCCTCGACCACTTCTTATCCCTACGTCCATCTTAAGCTTTACAAAATCCTTATCATATATACCATTTGTGATTTTATATAGTTCTATCATATCCCCTCTAAGCCTTCTGTATGACAAAGTTGGAAGATTTAGCTTCTGTAGCCTGTCCTGTTACGACATATCCTTCATTCCAGGTTAATTTTTTGTGGCCCTTAGTTGAACTGACTCCAGCTTGTCTATATCTTTCACTTTTACTGGTGACCAAACAGAACTTGCGTAATCCAGTTGTGATCTCGCCAAGCTTTTGTATAGCGGAAGAAAAGTTTTAGAATTCATAAACTGAAATGTTCTTCTTAACAATCCGAAAATTTGATTTGCTTTCTTCACTTTTTCACTTATGTGTTCTTGGAAAGAAAGTTCAAAATCTACCATTACTCCAATGTCTTTTTCCTTATCAGTAACTCTTAGACTATTCCCCAGTAATTGGTACTATCTGTGCAGTATCTTGTCCGACCAACATATGTTTGCATTTATCTGGATATAATTGTAGTAGATTTTAGTAGCCATTTCTCACTCCATTCTCCCATGGTATTTAGATCTTCTTGAAGTATTACTTTGTCTTCTTCTTTCTTGATTACCCTGAAAATTTTTGTATCGTCTGCAAATAGATACATATCTGATTTTACAATATCTGGTAAATCATATACGAAAATGACAAACAGCAAGGGGCCTAGGACTGATCCCTGGGGAATGCCAGATGATATGTCATTCCATTCAGACTGTTTGTCATTTATTCTTACATGCTGTTTTCTCGCATTCAAAAAACTTTCTATCCATCTGACAATTTGTTCTTAAATATTGTATGATTTAGTTTTACTTAATAATCTTCTGTGTGGTACTCTGTCAAAAGCTTTCTGATAATCCATATATATGCAATCAATTCCATAACCTTTATCCATCACCTCTGTCCATTTATCCAGTACATCTAACAACTGAATTGAAGTTGAACGGCCGGATATAAATCCATATTGCCTTGTCGAGAAAACATTGTTTGCTTGCATAAAGTCATTTACCGGTATATGCCGCGAATGATTGTTTCCATTACTTTACATGCCACAGATGTAAGGCTGACTGGCCTGTAATTCCCTGCCACTCTCTTGTCTCCCTTTTTAAATATTGCACACTCTTGCATGCTTCCAATCAACAGGAATGGATCCCTCTCGAAGAGTTTGGTTGAATATCAGTGCTAGTGGTATCGCTATGGTGGAGGCAGTCTTCTTCAGAAACTCTGGATGCATGTTATCAAAGCCTGGTGATTTATTTGGATTTAAGTTATTGAGTACCTTGGTAACCATTTAATTGGTTATCACAAGTGTTTTCATATTGCTGCTTGGTTTAATGTGTGTCAGTTCAGGTATTTCTCCTTTTTCTTCTTTAACAAATATGCTTTGAAAGAAGTTTGCAAGAATGTCAGCTTCTTCTTTATCTGAGGCCATTATTTCAGATTTGTTGTCCAGTGGGTTTTCGTATAGATTTGTTATTTCATCTTTGGATTTAGTTTTTGAGTTAATATATTTCCAGATCAGCTTTGGGTTACATTTGGCTTGTACAGCAATGGATTGTTCAAATTCCTTACGTAGTTTTCTGGTCTTTGACTTAACTTGGTTCCTTACCCTGCTATATTCTCTCTTTACTTCTGGATCAGATGTTTCTGCTACTTTTTTGGAGAGTGCATGCTATTGTTGTCGTAAGTAGACAAGTAACTCGTAAATATATTAGGATGGGCACCCCTTCGTCTCTGTATCTTACCGTCCATGAATCCTTAGGGCACAGGTGTTCGTAGACTGCAGTTGAGTAGAGTTTTCATAGATTGCCAATGGCTAAGGAGTGTTTCCCCCATTCTCACCAGCAGCCAAACGCACTCGAGTACAACAAATTGAGAGGTGAAAATTGGCCCAGGGCACAACTACCCAGGTGATATCTGTGTCAAAATATAGAGACCTGCAAAACATTGTTGCAGATGACCTTTAAGATTAAGAAAGAAAAGATCATTGAATACACTTTCCTTTATTACATATGACCTGGAATGTAGAATATTCATCCCTGATTTAACTTAAATCACCACCCATCAGTTATACAAAAAAATTAGTCTGAAAGGTTCATACTGACTATTGATGATTTTATTTTTTGACTTGGCTGTGGCCATCAGCACCTCAGTCAAAACATAACATCATAGATCGTTAGTTAGAACTTATGGATTAAACAAGAACATGCATATATACTCTGTATAAAGAACAAGAGGTATAATGCTATACATGTCTGTAGGATGGGTATTTCAAATATTTCACAATTAGTCACTTAACCTCTTTGATGGGCCAAGACCAATGGGTAAATTCTTATATCATTACTGTCTTTCTCTTTTGGTTCCCAGTTAGAGTTTATATGGTTATAGGGCTGGTATCTCAACTATAGCAAAAATGTGACCCAGAGATAATGTCCCTTGAGATGTGACACACCCAAAGGTAAATTCTTACTTAACAAAATGTGTTTATCGCTTAATGCTAAGCAATTCTATATATGGTTGTAGGGACTTCAACTGTTTCAAAGATATCAACCAGAAACTAACGATCTGTGGTCCGTCTGTAAATAATTTTTGTTATCACTATTTCTTGAGAAGTCTTGGATGAATCTGTCTCAAATTGCATATGTAGGTTCCCTTTGGTGCCTTGGTGTGCCCATCTGATTTTGGGCCAGATCAAAAAAAGAAAAACTGGCCAACAGGCAGCCATCTTGGATTTTTTTCGATGAAGTTTGTTATCACTATTTCTTGAAAAATAAAAGATTGATTTCTCTCAAATTTCATATGTAGGTTCCCCTTGGCCTCTAGTTGTGCCCATGTAATTTTGGGATTGATCAGAAAATTAAAATGGCTGACAGATGGACATCTTATAATTTGACTTTGAAAGTTAGTTATCGCTATATCTTGAGATGTACTGGATGGATCTCTCTTAAATTTCATATGTAGGTTCCACTTGGTCTCTAGTTGTGCCTGTTTGAGTCAGAAAAACAAAATGGCCAATAGGCATTAGATTTTGCCTAGTAAAGATTGTTTTTAATACATATGTTCCGTTTGGTCTCTCCTTGTGCTCTTTTAATTTTGAGACTGATCAGAAGAAACAAAATGGCTTCCAGGTGGCTAGAGTGGATTTGGCAGGTAAAGATTATCATGGTTATTTCTGGAAAGAATGTTCAAATGTCTTATCATTAAAAGCAAAATCAGAGAAGAGAAGAGAAAAGAAGGGAAATGGTCCAACTTTAAAAGAGCATTTAAAGATCAAACAATGGTGGGCATCATTATCCCTCTGGGATCTCTTGTAATATAGAGGTTTTGGTGAATGGAACATACATCTGTTCCATGTACAAAAACCTTTTATCAAAACTGTCTGCCAGCAATAGGTTGGGATGGTTTCAGGATAAGTGGGTTGTATTTGTCAATTTGATACCAATATTAAATTTTGTGTGTGTCTTTTTCTTTCAGATTAGAGAAAGGATTAATGCGGAAGATGAAGGGATTTGTGTCCGCTGTCAGTCGGCCTGGGACGATGAAAACTCTTGCTGTTGGAAATTTCCTATTGTTTCTACTTCACTGGATCATCAAATTTGAACAAGTACGTCTTCACGGAAATTTCCAGGATCTAGACATCCCTGTTGAAAAAGGATTTGTTCCATTGGGTCTACAGAAATATGAATCATTTTCGGACTCTGGACCCTATAGGATCCCAAAGATTATACATCAGACATGGAAAAACACAGAAATCCCAAGTAAATTTATAAACTGGATAAAAACTTGGAAAGCCAATCATCCTGATTGGGAGTACTTTCTGTGGACTGATGAAAGTGCTCATGCACTTATCAAAGATAAATATCCGTTTCTGTTGTCAACTTTTGATAATTATTCTGAAGGTATTCGTAAAGCGGACGCCCTCCGCTACGTCATTCTGTATGAATTCGGAGGTGTTTATGCAGACATGGACCTTGAAAGTCTGAAACCTATTGATCCGATGGCCAGAAAATACTCCTGTTTCATAAGTCAGGAACCATATGAACATCCTATTCTTGATGCAAATTTTGAACACTTGGTTATCAATGCTTTAATAGGTTGTCAAGCTAGACATCCATTCATGAAGAAATTGATGGACAATTTACCTGCCTTCCGTCACATGTGGAATGTGCTCGACAGCACTGGGCCCCACTTTGTGACGCTTATTTATAATGAGTATCAGAAAAAGGACATTCCAACAACTCGGGATGAAGGTGTATACTTGTCTCCCCCAGAATACTTTTTTCCAACCATAGACCCGGCAAAACATTTTTGGTTCCGGATTCAGTGTGGGAAGTTCCACAAATTAAGTGATCTGCAGAAAAGTGCGTGTAAGACTCTCAAAGTGAAAGGGGTGAATCGTAAACCAACATCTGTTGCTTTCACTGATCATCACTGGATACATACATATATAGACTTCAGGGTTTCTCTCAAAGGACCTGTAAATATCTTCCAAATTGTATCCGATGCAAAGATATATGGCAATGCAACATAATTCTTTATAGTTTTTCATAGCTTTTTGGTCTTTTATGTTTCATAATTTTGACATTTTTATAAAGTGATATTTGCATTGAATTGATAAACACCTAGTTTATTGTCATTTCTTTGAAATTGACCATACAGAAATCCACGTAGTAAATATATCAATGAAATTGTATTAGCTCATATGATTACAATGGTTGTTACTGTGTGGAGCACCATCAATAACATTGAATAGAGATTGGAATTCAGTTGGTTTCCTTTGTAAATGTTGAGCTGCTTTAACTTATTATAAAGTGAAAATAAAACACAAGTCACTTTAATGGCTTTTATTTTTTCCGGCCATGTTCATACAAAAGCCTTTGACATACTGGAATACAGTACATTAACATATTTGAATACATTTTGAAGTATGAGTAGTTTGATATGTGACGTGAAATAACTTAAGATTCTATGATGACTCTATACTTATATAAATTTGTGCCATTGATACATTCAGCTACACGTTTTCAGTAATTTAAGAAACATAATTTATGATTATCACCAGCTTGTACCAGATTTTTCAACGATATACACAAATGTTGGGACAGTAAATGATAATGTTATAATAATATAAATCTCTGCAGATGTAACAATGAACAATATACAACTGAAAACAGCTCATATAATTCCAAATAAATCTTTGTTACGTCTATATAAACAAAGTGCTCTCATTTTTTATTGATCAACAATAACACCAAAGAGGTAACATCACCATATATATGCTTTCTTAAGGTACTTCAGGCAGATATAAACTTAATCACTGGGGACAGTTTCCTCATAATAATCAACAAGGAAGTAAGATTTACAAGATCCTGTGGTGTCAGTTTGTTGTACTTTCAATAAAGTGTACACACATCTTTGTAAGATTGTCTTATAATTGTTATAAGTTGAATATTTCAAAAGATCGTACATTTTACAGTTACAAACAGAAAGGTTATACTGCATACATCTGACAACAATACAAACCTACTAATTATCTATATATATATCAAATATACATTTTCATAAATGTATATGTAAGTAAAGTAGAAATATCAAATGTCATTCCACTGCCCTGTAACAAAACCCATCCCTTGTTAAAATTTCTCTTAAAATGGTTAATTACAGAATATATTCTTTTTCTATGACAAAAAGATAGTCCGTAGGAGATACTGGACATAAAACCATCTTTTAATTTGTAAACATGGTCTAACTACAAAGAATAGACCTTTGTCTATTTTGCGGTAACGTTATCAAAATCTAAATTACTGACTATTGAAACAATCTGGTGGCAAAAGATGGACCTCGTCAAAGACAAGATAATCTATCTCTTTTATAAATCAGCCACCTTTATCGGACAAAGACTTGCAACAACTGAGTCATCATAGATCGACAGATTTATCCTGAAATTGTTACATGATAAGAAACACAACACATACCCTGCGTAACTCCAAAATTGACATATACAGTGGACTACAAAATATTTTTCCATATCGAATGGTCAGTAAGAAATTATGGCTTGAATGGTTTCTGTCCAAGGCACTTTAGGAAAACTCAAAATGTTCAAGATGAAATTGAACCAACCTGCATCAATTCGTAAGATGATTTGCAGGCTTGACTCATTTCATCCAGGACAGGATGGCAATCATTTTGAAAAAGTCAACCGATGGACGGACAAATGCCAAACACAGTAACACATAACTAGTCTGATTATTTTGACAAAACAAGAACAAGAATTTCTCCACAACAACTAACATATAAGTTTGCTCTCTATAACTTCCCATTGAAATTTTTAAAAAAAATGTTCACTGCCATTTCTCAGTGAATTTGTACAAATATTGTTAATATTTAATGAAAATATACAAGGAATATATAGAACAATCTATATGCTTTCTACATCATGAATAATATATACTATGATAATAAAAAGTTTATACTTTCTAAAACAGAACTATTTACAGAATAAAGAGAAAATCACTTTAATGGCTCAAGGGATTAGGATATGCTGTATTTTTGAAATATACAAATATTTACTAATAAAATATGTTGAGGTAGGTCTGTCAAGCGTAACGTGATTTGTTTTCTCTATTGAAATTAGCGAAAGCGTTATATATTTATATTTTGGTCCGATGTCCATGAGTTTCATTAACAAATGATTAGAGTTATTTTTCTTTGGTGTTAAAAACGCTTTAATACATAAAGTACTTTTTCTGACAATGCTTACATATTTCTGAGATCAAGTATTTAGGTGCAATGATTGTTTGTTCCTAACTGCATGGACTTATCTTTGTTTTAAGATATAAATATATAATAAAGACATCCTTTTGTAACGCCTCAAAACAAGTGAGAAACATTCCATAGTGTCATAGACTATTTGCAGAGGATATCACAAAGCAATACTTTACAATGCTTTAATTTTCAAAAGTGATAAATTGGCAGGGCGCCGATTACTGTGAAATGCATGTTCTGACTCTTTATTCCTCAGCAAAAATATACAATTCATACTTGCCACATAATATAAGTTAAAGGACATTCATATGGCTATTTTATGTATAAACTTGTCAACGTCATGGCCGGTTTTTAATGTGTCCTTATCGTGTCATAATAATAATGTATCGATTAGCAGTATTATTTAAGCAGCCAAACCACCTTATTCTGTAGATTTAAGATATCATGAGAATACTTATCTACTTTCAGAAAATCTGTTTTTATATTTCACTAAATTCAGCAATGTTAAACATTTGAAATTATTAGAGTACAAACACATAAAATAATAGTACACTACAGAATAATTTACAAAACTCTCAAAGGACACAATACTGTACACTCAAGTCCATCTCATATTAAAATTAAGACACTGCTCAATACTCTATTATGCTTGATGTTTTCTCCAATATACAGAGATGTGTAAGCTGAAGTTATGTTCAGGGGGAACAAATTTATGATATCAATATCAAATACGAGATTTTCAAATAAGATGCTTAAAAAGCATGTTGAACAAGTTGAAAATGGGATGAAACTAGACCCAGTCAAAACTGAAACATCAATTTGAAGACGGTGAATAATGAGAATGGTAATCAGCAGATGTTTCTCTCGTGTGATAACAGGTCCATCACAGTAGATCAAGACCCTGGCACTGCATAAATAGGCTCTACTTCCGTAAAACCAAGAAAATGATAATAATTGAGCAATTTTATTATGCATATATTATGTGGAGTACTAAATAAGTATTTGAACACAAAAAATAAATATCGAACGTTGTTGAATTCCTTTTGCCTATTTCCAATAGGGAAAGTTTTTGGTGTTTTTGGTGTTTTTAAAATATCTCCAAAGCAGTTGAAATTTGGTTATGTAAAATTCTTGAATATGAAGCTTGTACATTCAGAATGAATTACTGTCATAGAATGTATCAAAACAAACATAATGGACAGAAAACATGGATTTCATACAAAAATGACTGGTTATTGTACTGAGTTGTTTTATACATATACACTGTACAAGTAATTGGCCAATGGTACAGCATTTAATTTCTAATGTTGGTGAAAGCAATTGAATGTTACAAAATATTTTTCTCTGTAAAACACACATGAACATAAAAATCATCAAAATATTGCATTCCAGTCTTGTAATCGATTGCAATATTCAATAATCTACATGTATACCAAATTTCAGATTTTGACAATCTCTCAGACATTCTCTCAGACATTCTCTATCAAGACACAAAAAAATAAGGTGCTAGTTTCCACCTACGGTTTCATTTGATGCAAGTTTCTGTCTTTTCCCCCATCACAACACAAAAAGGCATGTTACATATCACACCCTGTACTATATCATTCACTACATCAGAGCAGAATATATAAATTGACCAGTCACGGTCATCTCCTTGTCTGCATCACACAGGTAATACATTGCAGAAAAACATAGTAGCCCTCAACAACTCATACCCTAATAGTAAACCAGGCATTTATTACACACATGTATTGTACATATTAGTACAGTCTAACTTCCCTAAAGTGGTCCTCCTCAAAACCAACCACCTCTTCAAACCAAATGAAAAGGCAATGCACGGACCTCCCTTTTGGAGTCATGTACTTCATCATTCCAAAAGCATAAGGATGTATGAAGGTGATTTTTATTGCAGGTATGGCATAAATCAATATGAAATAAATTCTAAAATATATATGCAGAATTATATTACCTCTTTTGGCTTTTAAATTATTTTCTTTCAAAAATGTATCGCTAAAAGAAAGGTTGAATTTCAAAAGTTTCAAATGCTAAACATTCATGCATCCTTATGTACATGTGGATAATTGAAAACAATATCATACACCCTTAGAGTTAAAAGTCATTTCTTGATTGTTGCTGGAGCCTGGTATATAAATGGATTACCATGAAAGGAATGTTTAACTGTAAAAAGGAATAAAAAAGTGGGACTGCAGGTTATTTTTCATATAAAAATATTGCCACACATTAATATCAAATAACAAGAATATTTATATAAAGCTTCATCACATATTCCACTCACAAACAAGTAATAAAAACACACAAATAACAACATACTATACTTTGTATATGAATTAACCAAGGATCCAGCTTTTACGGCCTGAAGAAAAGACAAGCACCTATTCACCGTTTCCCTTCGAAACAGTGACAAACATTTCTGAAATGATTCAAAGCGATACTTTAGAGTATTTTATTTACAGCCATTTCTACTTACAGCTGTATAGATGTGGTAGCTATGATGGTTTTCATGTTGAGTAAAAAATTAATTAACATACAAAACCCTTCTTAATATTTCCTATATAACTATTGATATAAGGAAAATGATGATAGTCTAAAAACCATTTGTATATAAATATTTCAATCTAGCATACTGAAAACTTACGAAACCTACTATCAATTTTATTGACATTAATATGGTACAGAGTACCTTAATGTGGTGTGATACTGATGTTTCATGTTATTCTACTTTTTCCTATAAACAATTCATCCAAAATTCTCTGAAAAAACAAGGACAAGTATTTCAAGAATGCCATATAGAGCCCCTCCTTCTGAATTCGAGGGGATTACAAAGATTACAATGTCCTAACTTTCAGTCGAAATCTGATATAAAAAAAATAATAATTCCACAACTGTATTAACAAATGAGTCTAGTACCTGTGTGAGCTCGCCATCATTCCATGACAAGAATAAGGAGGATGTAAAATGCAACTGCATGAAGCACAGATTGACAGACTGCGAACAAACTCTTCATTATAGCTGATAAATCTAATAAACTAGCTCTCTGCACATGTTCTTGCTGAATACCAGGATGCAGAAAAATTTGACCTTCTCAAAGAACATAAATAATTATGGTGCTGTATAGCTGTGATACCACACAGCAGATGTGCCTGGTAAAAGTGTGGTTGTGAAGGAGTCACATATATATATTTTTTGTACATGTAATTTTTTTATATGTCAGTTGTACCTGAAGTAACAGTTTTTCCTGAAGAGATGAACTTGTTTGAAGTCACAGCAGTATAAAAATGAAGTCACAATGGCAGTGAAGAATTCCTGCTTGAATTCCCTGATACATGTAGCTCATTTAGAAGTCATAGCAAGTAGAATATCCAGTAAAATTTCAGCATGTTTACAGAAAAAACAGTTATGGTACACTTAAGATCTTTAAGAATTAAAGAAAATTAAGATACTTTGACCATATAGAGTTTTTTTACACCTGAATACACAAATATTTTTCAACACAAATTGTTACAATTTCATGGAGTTAGTTGTTTGGAAATTGTACCAGCCAGCTATTAACATTTAGAAGTACTGATGAGAAAACTAGTGTCTATGAGACCCATTATTTATGTCTGTGTAATAATCATATATGACCAATTAGTCACGCACCTATCACTTACTACAGACCTGTTTGTGATTCACATCAATATAAAATATAGTGACAACGCTGCGTATTGGTCTGTCAGAAAATGTCAAAGATAAACTAATTCAGATCAATTCAATTTATACATAATTTAGTAATCCACCTTTGGGTTAATATGCATGGCTACAGATTTCCTCTGTCAATCATGAGCCTTGTCCGTCAACAGGGTTGTGTGTCCACCCAAAGTCACCTTGAATACTTTCTTTCCCCACGGAATTGTTCGTGGTTTTAAAATGGCCTCCAAATAAATGTATGTTGCCATTAATTCTCGGAATGTCCAACATAATACATATTTGAGCTTGGAAAATGGTGGAGGTCCATTCTGAAAAGTAGAGTGAATACAAAAAGGGGGGTTGGCATTGATTATGCATACAAAAATTCATAGCATACAAATAAACATGTAATACTGAAATAAAACAGGAACTTTATGAAAAATTACATGATCTATAAAGTGATATTAAACAACATGATATAATATGCATAGCATTACTGAACAATGTGACATTATCCAAAAGTGATATTAAACAGCATGATATGATTCATAAAGTGATATTAAACAGCATGACATTAATTAAAGTTTACCATCTTAAACTTACCTGGACTGTCCTCAATTGTATATAATCAAGAAACAACATCGCTATCACATGGATAGGGAAAAAATAATACATATGAATGCCAAAGAAATGGTAGCATGCCCATGCTCCAATGAGACCCGATGGAAGACAATCTGCTAGAGGCTCTAATAATCCAGCTACCACTGGCATCATGTTCAGGCGAAGTCTCGTCCACCTAGAATAGAGAGCGATGTGTTTTAATAATATTTACTAGAACTGACCAACGTCAGAGTTTAATAAAATGGCATAAAAATCAATAACATTGCAATAACTATTTCCTCTTCCAAACAAAACTAACAAAAAAATTGTGAGAAACTTGTTCAGCAAGGGCAATAACTCTGGAAATGAATCAATAGACTGTAATGCTGCTTGTAAAGATTTTGCTTATTGAAGGAAGAGGAATGATGGAAGCAGAATAGATTAAGTACACAAAACAGATGGACAAACAAGCAGAACTGAGTATATCTGTATATCATGGCAGACTGTTTACATTAAGCTGGTAATATTTGACAAATAGTATGACTTGCATTACAATACTGTGAACATTTGTAAAATCGTTTTTATCTTCCTCCCAAAAAGAGTGCAATAAACTTGAATTACAACTAGAATCTGGCAACAGCTTATCCTCATTCTCTGGCTTGTTTTTAGGCTACAATAACTAATAATAATAAATATTTGACCTTTTACTTGACAAGTTTCTTACCTGACCATTCTGTCTTTAAAACTTCGTAATGTTACAGAAGCTATGTTTTGTTGTGCAGGGTAGGCTGATAGGACGAGTTTATGCCCTCTGAAAAAAAAGGATTGAAATTTGTTGTACTCCTAACTCACGAAGATTATAGCAGATTCATTTTGGAAAAGATGTTAAGTATTATGTTACACAAAATACTTTCAGTATGAATTAAGCATCTTAATCAGTGAAAATTGTAAGCTTATATCTTTTCAATTTCATGTTGTCTTCACTTTTTTGTTTTCAATTTTCACACATACAGCAGACTTACTTTTCATGTAAAGCTGATGTTAGGAAGAAATCTTCTGCGAGGTAGCGTCCATACCAGTTGAGCCCCTTCAGCTCATCAAGGAGAGATTTTTTAAACATGTATGACATTCCAGTACAACAACAAAGTCCTAGAGTGTTGAAAGCAGGATAGAACCTTGCCATAGCACATCCAAAGTAAATCTGTAGTGACAAAAAATGATTAGTGAGTTCACCTTTACAAAATCTAAAACTTGAGAATGGGTATGCAAACGTGTTATATACTTTTCAATCATTCCTCTTGTTTACAGAGAATATAAGTGGTGAGCTTAAGTTCTACTTGAAAGCTGAAACATACGTTATTGATGTGCTTAGGGCTATTTTACCACTTGTGTAGTACATCAGGTAAAACAGAAAAGTTTGATGTGATAACCAAAAAAATACATAAAAATAGTTAAATAATAAGGGCAAATGTTCCCTTTTATACAATATTATGAACACCTGTAACAACAAACAAACAAACAAACAAACAAAGTTCAATCAAACTAGAGCAAAATATGTACCAAAGAACAAAATTTACATAAAGACAACTGAAAAGGTATTGTTTAATATCACAGAATCACATAATTTTTTCTAATTATAGATGAATATATAGGAAGAATTTCAAATCAAATACCAGTGTAACCAACCTTTTCCACTGTGGCCGCAAAACCACTGAGGTCAGTTGTAAAAGGCATCTGGTGAACGAGTGCTACACTTGGGTGTTGTAATTTGGATGCCATGTCCACAATTATATCTGTACTGGCTACAAACAAACAATGATATACAGTCATACGAAGGCAAATCCTTTAGTTCAACTCTGCTATAGTATCAAATCTTTTGTACACGATGGATCTATATTGCATACTATTTTATACCCTGGCAAAGACTGTACAAATGCTTTATATATCAACAAGTTTTTGTTTCATTTGAACACAGCATTTTTCTTTACAACATTACAAAAGCAAATATAAGGGAAACAAATTTCTTTTCCACTTATGTAAAGGCATCCTGATATAAAAGATAGATTGATAAGTAATTGTCTGAATTCCTCAGTCGCCTCCTTGGTTTATTCCACAGTCTTATGGAAAGGCATCCTGATATAAAAGATAGATTGATAAGTAATTGTCTGAATTCCTCAGTCGCCTCCTTGGTTTATTCCACAGTCTTATGGAAAGGCATCCTGATATAAAAGATAGATTGATAAGTAATTGTCTGAATTCCTCCGCCTCCTTGGTTTATTCCACAGTCTTATGGAAAGGCATCCTGATATAAAAGATAGATTGATATTCCACATTCCACAGTCTTATGGAAAGGCATCCTGATATAAAAGATAGATTGATAAGTAATTGTCTGAATTCCTCAGTCGCCTCCTTGGTTTATTCCACAGTCTTATGGAAAGGCATCCTGATATAAAAGATAGATTGATAAGTAATTGTCTGAATTCCTCAGTCGCCTCCTTGGTTTAATGATTTAGGACCCTAGCATCAATGAAGAGTCTGAGAAGTATGAAGTGGCTGTTTGATACAACTTTACTGTGTATCAATTCTTAGACAGAAAATGTGGTGGACATGATCAAGGTCATTTTAGTCAGTTAACAGTATGATAAATTTATTGTTATAAAGGACAGGAAATACATGTCTATATACCCTGTCAGAGACCTGAATAATTTATACAGACAGTCTCATGTTTCCAGTCACCTTCTTATTTACCCTACATTTCCTGTTTGAGATTCAAGGAAGAAACATAGGACTATATACCCTGCCAAAGACATGCATATAACTATATAATTATAACATAACACAAGATGGTCCACAAAGCCTTTCCGCCCTTTTCAGTCCTGAAGACACAGCACACAGTCTTTTCTCTTTTTTATTCCATTGGAAGAAATTAACTTTGAAATTAGCTGATGACATTTTCATATACCAAAACAAGAGATCCCAGGGGGATATTGGTGCCCACCATTGTTAGATCTTTATATGCTATTTGAAAGTTGGATCTTTTCCCTTCTTTTTTCTCTTCTCTGTTTTTTCTCTTATTGATGAGATCTAAGATATCTGTTTGTCAGCCATTTTGTTTTTCTGATCAGTCCTAAAATCAAACTGGCACTCCTGAGAACCAAGAGGAACCTACATAAGAAATTAAAGAAACATCAATCCTGTACTTCTCAAGAAATAGTGATAACAAACTTTCAAAGCTAAAATAGAAGATGGCCGCCTGTCAGCCATCTTGTTTTCTTGATCAGACCTAAAATCGAATTGGCACAACTAGCGACTAAGGGGAACCAATATATGAAATTAAAGAAAGATCAATCTTGTACTTCTCAAGAAATAGCGATAACAAAAAGTGTTTACGGACGGATGGATGACCGAAAAAATCCAAGATGGCCACCTTTCGGCTATTTTGTTTTTCTGATCAGTCCTAAAATTACATGGGCACAACTAGAGAACAAGGGGAACCTACATATGAATTTGAGAGAGACCCATCTCTTACTTTTGTAAATTTGTTTACTGACGGATGGCAGACCATGGACACAGAGCGACAAAAAAGTCAGAATCCATTAAAAGTATTTCTTTTCCAATAATACTTGATCTTGGTTACCTTTTATGCGACTGGTACTTATCCATACACAGTCATACGTAGCATTGTCATAGCCTGGGGCCATATTGTAGACCATAGGATTCACAATACCCTCCTTCCCACCTATATCAGCAAATAAAAATATTTTCTTTAAAGTTTTAAATCATATATTCAAATATTGACTTATACAAAACAAATCACTTTATGAAACAGGTATAAACTGGTGATGTTAGATGAAATATTGTTTTAATCAAAATACTTTTATTTAGATACATGGATATCATTCTTGCCTTGTTTGATATTTAACCATCTGAAATTTAAAAACTTCCAGTTCTGAGATAGGAATCTTGATAAATAGTTCCAGGTCTTACTTCTTAAATTATTTGTCTGCGGACTTTCTGAGATTTTCGATTGAGGTATGACATATAAACAAGCAATGAAATATTTCAAACTTTTGTCAAATATACCTTGTAGCTGTTTAAATATATTCACATGTTTTATTTTATTGTTTACCTGTAAATATTTTGGCATCGACATGTGGAAACTTTTCCATGAGTCGTTGAACAAGGTTTATGGCTGGATCCTGATCATCAGGAAAACAAAACAGCAACTCAAACTGAAAAAAGTGATCAAAAGCACATTTCAATAAGTTTTTCTTTTTTACATTTTCTTAAAATCAAACAAAAAAAACCCCAAAAAATTGAGATTAAACATTTGATGTATTGAAATTTTATAAAGAAATTGTGGATTTTGAAAAACAAAGTTTACTTAAGGCAGGTTGATGTCACCCTCTGACAAGCTATTTAAAGATCCTTGTAATTGTTTGACATTGTCTGGTGAACTTGGAACCCAGAAATACAAACCCATCCCAAATGTAATCATACTTGACATTTGAAACAGATTTTATCAAAATCCCAGACATTAAATGTTTGAGAGATGACACCAATTTGACATCATATAGATAATACTATATATGACTATCCCCACCTTGTCTATCATTTGAAACTACATATTTTGTCAGGTACATCAGTCAAATTTCAACCTCAAACTTCTTTCCGAAATTTTATCTCATCTACACCTTTAGCACTAGAATGAATGATGAAGATCAAAACAAATCACTGATATCACAGAAAGATAGAAAGCAAGCAAATATATTTCCTAAAACAGAGCTAACAATAGAAGTAAAATTGTTATGGAATGGATACTGCTCATCTCCAACTCAGTTACCAGAGAATCTAAAATGTGTTTCCTTCCACAAAGAAATAAATGTAGAGAATTGGCCAAAATAAATCTGAATTAACGTAAAATGATATCTTTTGGTGGGGCTCAATTTTCAAGATTTTTCAAAAATATACATTTTCACTGGCACTTGATTTCGTGGATAAATCTTGCTCACAAAATCAACTAATACAGTACTATAATTCATGTCAACATTGATCTGTTTTGTGGACATATTAATTCATGAATTAAATGAAACCCTAAACTGAATGAATATTAATCCACCACAAAAATTGCTGATTTTACAAAAGGAAATAAAAAAAAAAAGAAAAAGACACATTTCACAAAATTCAAGTAATTAAAAAAATATCATTAAAAGTCTCTAAAGAAATCAATTCAACTTGAACACCTGTCGAGATCCCAAAGCGATTGATTACACACTGAGTGCAGTCATATTGGGTCAACAAATGTTTAACTGAATCAGATCTCTGGTAACTGCCTGCAGACATGTTGGTACATTTAAATCCAAATCAATATGTTGGCTAGTAATGAAATCTTTACAACAAAGGCTCAGAGGAAATATTATCCATTCATCCAGATACAAAACTGTATACAAGTTATAATAGTATTTTCTAGGTTCGGAATGTATGTTGATCCCAAGTAAATGGCTGTTTGTTAAGACATCTGTTGGTGTTTCTATTCTCGGCTATTGGCTACACTCACAAGTTAAAGCCTATCCTATGTTGTTCTGAATCACAATACAATGCGTTTAATATTTATAAACCAATACTACAGTATTGATTTATAATTGGATCCTGCCATTAGGTCAGAGTTCAGAGGTAAAAGTGGATCAATGAGAATTTCTAACAGAGTAGCTTGCCGTTTCTGTCGAGTTAAACAGCAGCTGTTTGACAGAATAACTAGGACAGTACTGGGTCAGCTATATAACTCAATCTGGACCCAAAGGTAAATACAGCTAGAACCCTCCCATAAGACAACTGGCATCAAACACAACTCCCCCTGGGACAATCACTATACAACACAGGACTCATCCAGGGGAGTCAAACTCAGTAACAATTATCAAAAAGTGACAGTGGTTTTTAAATAAAAAAAAGTTCTACTGAAGGCCTGAGAGGATGATCTATCAAAAAAGGTTCAATTTCTAGTGACAAAAAAGGTGGTCTCTCAAGACAGGTTCTAATGCAGTTACAAATTAGTTGGTCCCTTAAGACAGGTTCTACTGAAGTGAAAGAAGGGATGGTCACTCCAGACTGGTTTTTACTGTGTATTGACAGATGGAGTTTTCTTTCAAGGCAGTTTCTACTATAGAGACAGAAAAGGGTGGTCTCTCATGACAAATTCCACTGCAGTGACAGAAAGGGTAGTCTATCAAGAAAGATTCTACTGTAGTGCAAGAAAGAATGATCTCCCAAGGCAGATTCTACCTCAGAAGAGGTGGTTTCTCAAGACAGAATCTGCTGTAGTGACAGAAGGAATTGTCTCTCAAGGCTGATTCCATGGTTGTGACAGAAGGGGTGGTCTCTTAAAGACAGGTTCTGCTGAAGTAACAGAAGAAATGGTCTCTCAAGGCAGATTCTACTGTAGTTACAGAAAGGGTGGTATCTTAAGACAGGTTCTAATGAAGTAACAGAAGGGATGATTTCTCAAGGCAGATTCAACTGTAGTGACAAAAGAGATGGTCTCTCGAGACAAATTCTATTGTAGTGACTGAACAGATGGTCTCTCCAGGCAGAATCCACTACATTGACAAAAGGCCTGATCTATCAAGACAGGTTCTCCTATGGGGTGACACAGGATCCAATAAATTAAAATAACTTTAAAGAACAGATACTTAAGATTATAGTGAGTGAAAGTTTGCTCTTTTTTATATAGATTGTAATACCTTTGGATATTGCATTCTAAAATGACTTTCAAGATTTTCTTCTAAAAGTGGATCGAGTCCCATGAGAGGCTTGATGACAGAAACTCCGGGATAGCTGTCAGTTGACAGGATACACTCAGATTTTTTGTAGAAAAAGATCCGCCTGCAAAGAAAGAAAACAGAAATTATTATAATATTTACATGCATGTATCCCTCACACTCAAAACCACAATTCAAATAGTAATGATCTTTTTTTAAGAAATGCATCATAAGCATACATTCTGTTATTTTTTTTTTTCACTTTTTATTTTCAAAATGTTAGTCTGGAACAAACACAAAAACCTGTAGCCTCCATTAATCAAAATGTGGGCATGTCAAATTTGTGTGCTATGTAAATATCCCAGACACTAGTCAACATACCAGGAATGAAAATAACACACAATTCAGAAAAAAAAAATTCATGCAAACCTATTGTGTTTTTTTCAAACTTCTAGATAAAATGTTGAGTCATGTGTAAAGCAGGTGAAGCTCAATGTAAACAAAGAGAAAATTAAGTGTGAAACAGTTTATGTATTAAAAGTTGTCAACCAAGTGTGCCAAATACAAACAGTTTATGTATCATAAGTTGTCAACCAAGTGTGCCAAATACAAACAGTTTATGTATTATAAGTTGTCAGTGTGCCAAATACAAGCAGTTTATGTATCATAAGTTGTCAACCAAGTGTGCCAAATACAAACAGTTTATGTATTATAAGTTGTCAACCAAGTGTGCCAAATACAAACAGTTTATGTATTAAAAGTTGTCAACCAAGTAATACAAACAGTTTATGTGTGCCAAGTGTGCCAAATACAAAACAGTTTATGTATTAAAAGTTGTCAACCAAGTGTGCCAAATACAAACAGTTTATGTATCATAAGTTGTCAACCAAGTGTGCCAAATACAAAACAGTTTATGTATTAAAAGTTGTCAACCAAGTGTGCCAAATACAAACAGTTTATGTATTAAAAGTTGTCAACCAAGTGTGCCAAATACAAACAGTTTATGTATTAAAAGTTGTCAACCAAGTGTGCCAAATACAAACAGTTTATGTATTAAAAGTTGTCAACCAAGTGTGCCAAATACAAACAGTTTATGTATCATAAGTTGTCAACCAAGTGTGCCAAATACAAACAGTTTATGTATTATAAGTTGTCAACCAAGTGTGCCAAATACAAACAGTTTATGTATTAAAAGTTGTCAACCAAGTAATACAAACAGTTTATGTATCATAAGTTGTCAACCAAGTGTGCCAAATACAAAACAGTTTATGTATTAAAAGTTGTCAACCAAGTGTGCCAAATACAAACAGTTTATGTATCATAAGTTGTCAACCAAGTGTGCCAAATACAAACAGTTTATGTATCATAAGTTGTCAACCAAGTGTGCCAAATACAAACAGTTTATGTATCATAAGTTGTCAACCAAGTGTGCCAAATACAAACAGTTTATGTATTATAAGTTGTCAACCAAGTAATACAAACAGTTTATGTATCATAAGTTGTCAACCAAGTGTGCCAAATACAAACAGTTTATGTATCATAAGTTGTCAACCAAGTAATACAAACAGTTTATGTATCATAAGTTGTCAACCAAGTGTGCCAAATACAAACAGTTTATGTATCATAAGTTGTCAACCAAGTGTGCCAAATACAAACAGTTTATGTATCATAAGTTGTCAACCAAGTGTGCCAAATACAAACAGTTTATGTATCATAAGTTGTCAACCAAGTGTGCCAAATACAAACAGTTTATGTATCATAAGTTGTCAACCAAGTAATACAAACAGTTTATGTATCATAAGTTGTCAACCAAGTGTGCCAAATACAAACAGTTTATGTATCATAAGTTGTCAACCAAGTGTGCCAAATACAAACAGTTTATGTATTATAAGTTGTCAACCAAGTAATACAAACAGTTTATGTATTATAAGTTGTCAACCAAGTGTGCCAAATACAAACAGTTTATGTATTATAAGTTGTCAACCAAGTAATACAAACAGTTTATGTATCATAAGTTGTCAACCAAGTGTGCCAAATACAAACAGTTTATGTATTATAAGTTGTCAACCAAGTAATACAAACAGTTTATGTATTATAAGTTGTCAACCAAGTGTGCCAAATACAAACAGTTTATGTATTATAAGTTGTCAACCAAGTAATACAAACAGTTTATGTATCATAAGTTGTCAACCAAGTGTGCCAAATACAAACAGTTTATGTATTATAAGTTGTCAACCAAGTAATACAAACAGTTTATGTATTATAAGTTGTCAACCAAGTGTGCCAAATACAGTGTAATGGAATTTTTCCTCATTGAAGAAATGCTTCAACAAATTTAGTCAGTATGTGCTGAGTTGAAGAAAAAAAAAATTACAAATCAAAAACCAATTTAAACATACTTTCAACTGAAATGAACTTCCATCATATGCATGTAATTTCAATGTACATTCTATATTCAACATACATTTAGTGTATTGTTTCATAAATAAATTCAATATATTTCCCAGACAACAAACGGAGCATATTGATTACAATTCTGAAAATGTCTTTTTCTTAACTTTCAATATTTTGACTAAGAACACATTCCTAGAAAACATCACGACAAGCAAATCACAGGAATAACAAATCAACATTCTGCAAATTAAGCATAAAAATATAAAATTGAATCAACAATAAAAACCTTAACCGTTTGTTGCTGAGCCATTAATTTTACCTATTCCGTATTAATATAAAAAAAAATCCTTTTTTGTGATTTTTAACTTTCATTTAGGATCTTTTCATCCTCTGTATAAAATTTCAGTTGCATCAATTGATAAAAAATAAAATTCCTGACCACCAATTTCCAAAGTTTCTAAAACAATAAATTGTGTATCTGTGGTTATTAGGGTTAAAAATCATGATGAAAATGAAAGATGTTTCATTTGAAATGAGTTTCTCCCATTTTTATACAAAATTCTGTTTTAAAAAATTTGAGGACATATGATTGGCTCTCATCATTAGTAAAAGGACATTTGATTGGCCCAACTGCCTGGTGAGTGAAGAAAAAGACACAGGAAACAAAGATGCTAAATGAAGCTTGATTAAAAGTGACAAACAAGAGAAAACCAATTAAAGCCACAGCGAGTGTATGAGATACAAAAGTTAAACATATCACAGGACAGAGAAAAAACAAGTGTTATATACCTCCTCAAACAAAATCTGAAAAACATCAAGAACACATTGGTCACCATAGCAATCAGTGTCATATGACACATTTACACTTGGGTGTCACGAGGAACAGTTTGTCAGTTAATCAAAAGTTACCGGAACTCCACACTCAACCAAATCCTTTCCCCAATCACCATCACCCTACAATTTTGTGCAATATTCAAGACTTAAATAATCTCTTAATCTGTGTTTTTTTTTTCTTTTTTTTTCTTTTTTTGTAATGACTCATTCAAGTGGATTTGAATCTGTAAACCGAACAAGGACTGACCTTGTCACATGATCCTTGTTTGGAATATTTGGGTATCAATTTGACTTTGCCATTTGCTTTTCTCAGCTCTCAGCAAGTTTTTGAATCATGCACTATCTTGTTAGGTGAAAGAAACCTACATTTTGTAAAATAAAAAAAAAAATAAAAAAACCTATCGATGTTATCTTTATCAGTTCAAGGATTAATATCTTAGTTAGTCAGATAATGATGTTAGCTTACGTGTTGTTGAATAAAAAGACAAAAACATCAACAAACATATATATTATGATCTTTAGGAATTAGGGGTGTACTTCAGGCTTTTTGCCCTTGCCACAAAGAAAGTTTTTTACATGTAGAACTTTCTTTACAGCAGTGAAACAGCATTAGATTTGTTGCCATTTTTCATCATCAAAAACAGAAATCAGTGAAGAAACAACTGGATGAAAGCTGGAAGAAGTACCACACAATACCTTTTCTGCAAACCACATGTCCAAAGACAAGGACAGTATTATAACGTCAGTTATATTTGCCAAATTAATTTTCACCCAATGAATTAATCTGAAATACCTAAACGAAAGCTGTGCACCTTACATATTAGTGAAGCTTTGTGTAGATTTATGTGGCAAGTGTATAGACAAGTGCAAGAACCAAATCATGACATAGTTAACATCTATCAAGCATGACCAAAATGCCTGGAAGTAGAAGAACCAATGGATCCATGATGTGGATCCAGGAAAATGACTTTCGTATTAAGAGGAAAACAAGGGAGATAACTAAGAACAGCGAAGACATCAAAATGATGTCATTCATGGAAGAAGGGATGCTGAGAGCCAAAACTTATAGAGCAACATTAAGGCAAGGGACATAACCAGAAATAAGAGAATAATTATACATCATATGTTATCAAAGGAGATATAAAGAATGGGAAGCGAATAGAAAGAAAGGTAATTTGTGGATTCAGAACTTCAGATTCAAGAAGCAATATACAAATGGGCACTTCAAATCAAGGGAGATAATTTGTTCACTGAATGACCAGAAAGAGAAAGTTGAGTGCTGAAGGGAGATAACTCCAGATGCACAGTATACAAGGGAGATAATCTTGCAATAACAATGGTGACAGGTACCCAATGTAGTAGGGAATATTTCTATAAAGCTTTTACATGATATTTCTACTTTTTATACATAAAGGTACAATTGTTAAGTCAAAACAATTTTTGGATAAACTTAAGTAAACGCATAAATATCAGACTTACGTAGTAATGAGAGATACAAGAGCACAGAAGACCATCACACAGTAACCAACGGTACAGAGAATGGCAATGAAGAAGATGATGTATGACTGCGTCTGTTCATCCAGGTAAAACATCTTGGACTGAAAAACAAAAATGTAAATAATAGGATAAACAAACAGAATTTTGAATTCCATTTACAGACCTGCACAATGAAGTCCATCACTTCCTAAATCCAATATAATCACACCTTAGGACTTTAACAGTGTAATCACTCTCTGGGACATGGTGATTGAGTAATACGTTAAATTTACCATGAGATTGAATAAATCAGGATTTAAAAAATTATTTTGTATGCAATTTTCACAAACAATATAAGACATCTATCCTGGTTGGTCAGGAGGCACAATGGTAACATTCCCCGAAACAGATGTGAAAAGGTTTATTTCCCCCCGGGTATTTGATTAGAGTGATTATTATAAGCTGGAAAAACTTGTTTCAAAATTATTGTAAAATCAGTTCGTATGCATGTACCTATCCTGTTTTCCTTGATTCTATTTCTCAGATTCATAAAAACACTTTATATTTTATTCATAAAACACTTAAAGGCCAAAACATGATGAGTAATACTTAAAAAAAGGGTATTTAGAAAAATTCAGATTTAAATAATCATTGAGTGTTCTGATAGGAGATTCTATTATCCTGTTTTATCAACACTTCAGATTATTATACTTTATTTGCAATTTTCTCAAGCTGACCAACAACTCCTGGTTGTTTTGCCGCATTGTTTACATTATCAGAATCCTATATATAGAGACCATTAACAAGATTAACTGATAAACACAAACTCTCTTGGTCAATCTGGAACATATGAATTCAGTTCTATATGGGCCTGTGAGAGTTTCAAAGCATCCAGACTGTACAGCTATAGATTAACCCCGGTCGATGAAATTCAAAATCATTTAAAAACCTAGGATTAATTTTATGACATGAGATAATAACATTTTAAGAACCACATATCTTATAAATATATGACCTGTCCCAAAAACAAACATTGATTTCAAGAGAGAAATTAAGGTAGTCAAGGTTCAAGTCTTACAACACTGTACTTTCAAATATGTATAACCATAATGTAAGGACTAGGAATTATATGATCTGATGAACAAGTATTTCATAAAATTTTCACTTGTTTAGACAAACTGTATACATTGAATATGAGAAGTTGAGAATGGGATCATAACTCTGTATAACAATTGGTATCACACCATCATTTAAAGATTTTTCTTTCAAATTTTACACATGGATAGCTGAAAATACTCTCAGCTGGCTGGATTTTTCTTGGCATCATAGCCAGAGCTCAAGAAAGTACACTTCAACTTTGAACAATCCCTATCATAGAAATGTAGGTCACATACGATAGGGATCCTGATTAGCCAGGTTTAACATGTAGTCATGTATCACACTAAACCCACAACTTATCCAGCACCAGACAGGCATAATATGACATTAAATCTAATTTGACATTAAAGTCAAACAAATTCAATAGAAACTTTAGACCAATCAAGTGAAAACAGATCAGACTGCTGGGAAACATTTACGCTTCAAACCATCTAGGAAATGTAATATATAGGTGTGGGGATTTTGAAATTTATAACTCGGTCCCCTCATAAATATGTAGGTGTAGAAACATGCAGACCCTTGCAAATGTCCTGATGGAAGAAGATCAAACACGATCTGAAGACATGTACTGTAGCTATCAAATGACACAGCCCTGTTACAGACTGAAGTGTTTTGTTGACAGTAATACCTGAGGGTCAGGCTGAAACAAAGACACACATAAATGGGGGAGGAAGTGGTTACACTCCTCTAACTAACATCTCCACATTTGTCTAGTGTCACTAGTGATGTCATTCACACAAAGCTAAGCAATATAAAGACTTACTGATATTAATTTGCAGTATGTCTAGCTATCTGAACTTTCAATTTTTTCATAAATAAAATATTTCTAAACCTTGCAAATGAAATTTTTCATTATTTATGTAGTAAACAGGCATTTTATAACCCACAGGAATTCATAAAAAATGCAAAAGCAAAGTTTTGACCAACTCATTTTATGGTTTTCACCTACAATAGTTTACTCATTTTATGGTTTTCACCTACAATAGTTTACTCATTTATGGTTTTCACATACAATAGTTTACACATGCAAAATTTTGACTTCCACAGTTTACATATATATTGGCCATGATAAGCTGTGATTCATCAATCAGTATTCTGATTTCCATCTTTTCATCACATCATATTCCAATGCAAGAAAAAATATATTTGTGTATCATTCATATAAAAATGAGAATACTAAAATAGACAGATATGTAGATATTAGCATATGCTTAATAAAAGATCAAACTTTTTTGATACTACCTAACAATTGTAGTAGTGTACAACAGCTGTCAATAACAGTTGTCATCAACACTGCTGCGTTGACATCCTGTAATATCATTTCATTTATCACACTCGAGGACAACTATGTGGGATCCTCAATTTTTCAACCATATCATATTTATAAAATGTGAATGTTTTCTATATTATACATTAAAGGTTTTGGCCCACAATAGTTTATACATTTAAAGTTTTAAAGTGTGTAGGTTTAAATCTTTGCCTATAAGTTCATGTAGAATTGAACCTTTGCCTACAAGTTCACTGTAGAATTGAGCCTTTGCCTACAAGTTCACTGTAGAATTGATCCTTTGCCTACAAGTTCACTGTAGAATTGAACCTTTGCCTACAAGTTCACTGTAGAATTGAACCTTCGCCTACAAGTTCACTGTAGAATTGAACCTTTGCCTACAAGTTCACTGTAGAATTGAACCTTCACCTATAAGTTTACTGTAGAATTGAACCTTCACCTATAAGTTCATGTTGAATTGAACCTTTTCCTACAAGTTCACTGTAGAATTGAACCTTCACCTACAAGTTCACTGTAGAATTGAACCTTCACCTATAAGTTTACTGTAGAATTGAACCTTCACCTAAGTTCACTGTAGAATTGAACCTTTATAAGTTTACTACAAGTTCACTATAAGTTCATGTAGATTGAACCTTTGCCTACAAGTTCACTGTAGAATTGATCCTTTGCCTACAAGTTCACTGTAGAATTGATCCTTTGCCTACAAGTTCACTGTAGAATTGAACCTTTGCCTACAAGTTCACTGTAGAATTGAACCTTTGCCTACAAGTTCACTGTAGAATTGAACCTTTGCCTACAAGTTCACTGTAGAATTGATCCTTTGCCTACAAGTTCACTGTAGAATTGAACCTTTGCCTACAAGTTCACTGTAGAATTGAACCTTTGCCTACAAGTTCACTGTAGAATTGAACCTTCACCTATAAGTTTACTGTAGAATTGAACCTTCACCTATAAGTTCATGTTGAATTGAACCTTTTCCTACAAGTTCACTGTAGAATTGAACCTTTGCCTACAAGTTCACTGTAGAATTGAACCTTCACCTATAAGTTTACTGTAGAATTGAACTTTCACCTATAAGCTCATGTAGAATTGAACCTTTGCCTACAAGTTCACTGTAGAATTGAACCTTTGCCTATAAGTTCATGTAGAATTGAACCTTTGCCTACAAGTTCACTGTAGAATTGAACCTTCACCTACAAGTTCACTGTAGAATTGAACCTTTGCCTACAAGTTCACTGTAGAATTGAACCTTCACCTATAAGTTCACTGTAGAATTGAACCTTTGCCTACAAGTTCACTGTAGAATTGAACCTTTGCCTACAAGTTCACTGTAGAATTGAACCTTCACCTATAAGTTCACTGTAGAATTGAACCTTTGCCTACAAGTTCACTGTAGAATTGAACCTTTGCCTACAAGTTCACTGTAGAATTGAACCTTCACCTACAAGTTCACTGTAGAATTGAACCTTTGCCTACAAGTTCACTGTAGAATTGAACCTTCACCTATAAGTTCACTGTAGAATTGAACCTTTGCCTACAAGTTCACTGTAGAATTGAACCTTTGCCTACAAGTTCACTGTAGAATTGAAACTTCACCTACAAGTTCACTGTAGAATTGAACCTTTGCCTACAAGTTCACTGTATACATTACTCTTACTTTTGTTCTGATTAGAATATATCTCTGCCTAATTTCATAAAAAATCATTTGATCACTTATAAAGGTTTACTTATGTACATTACGTCACTTACAAACTCAATAGACAAATGTATAGACAAACAAACCAAACATGGCCTCACTTATGTAGAGGATTCCCAAACCTTAGCTAACATCATGTTACCATGATTAACTATAATTAATTCAGTTATTTATTTTTTCTACAATATTCTTGGAAATTTTTACAGAAAAATCAATCAGAAAATTATTTTTTGTCTTCTGTCAACAGTGAACTAGATTGAAATTGAAATTTCCAACACTCTGGCATTGAGGTTTGAAAGTATCCATGGCAACAAAACTTACCTTAAATTGTGGCTGAACTTGTTAACAGACTTAAGGAGCAGCTTGTTTGTACTAAAAGTTTCACACTGGGCAGAGGACACTTCATTAATTTGATGACATCATTTTCATCTTGTATCTCATCTGAAAGCAGAAGAAAACACAGATAAATATTTATTTTCAAACAGGTACACAGAAGTAAATATTCAAATGAAATTTCTCTACCAAAACGATGTGTTTCATCTTTCTTTCTCAAGAATTCAGGATACTGAATGCAGGAAAATATAATTGAAATTCATCAAAACATGTAGTAAGCAGTTACTGTATACAAGGAATTTTTTGTAAAATTTTTGCCGTTTTTTGCCCATGAACAAGGGGGGGGGGAGTCAGGCAAATGGCAAATTCAAGATGGGGATAAAAATTGTTACACTTAAATAATGTTTTTATGTCATCCTCACATGTTGAAATTAACATGAGGTGAATTTGTGTATAATTGTACAAAGGTCTAAAATAGCCAGGGACAAAAATATCTATGTATACCGTAGTAGTTAGTAGTAAATTATAAATACCCTGTGGCTGATATAGTGCAAGCAGAAATGTAACACGAATTTAGTGCAATGGTTTCAGACAGGTCTAGCCTGTAGCTATTTGATTCAGTGGCTGGGTCAGATTATGGT